ATGCACCGTGATGTGTGTATATATATAAAACTTACTTTTAAAAAGATGGCATCTCCCTTTGGAACTTCTACAAACATATCTCCAGCCATATGCTCAACTCCTATAATCAATTTACATTTTGTTAAAGGAAAAAAATGTTCACAGAATAGTCACTGAAACTAGAATATCTAGCAATATACAGGATAAGAAATTTGTCAAATTAGGTTTGTACCAGGACTAAGAGGAGCACAAGCTAAAACCGGGGCTAAGTCGAAATTGATGCCTCTAATATGAGGATATTTTGAAGTAATTAAACCTATAATGGTGCCTAGTCCTCCACCCACATCCACCAAAGTGTTTACATCTTCGAATCCTTTGTAAACTTCTAGAACCTTTTTTATGATCATGGTGGAAGTTTCGGACATTGTTCGGTTAAACATCTCGCCAAATTGATCATCTGAACAGATGTATTCAAAACATTTCATGCCATGGGCAGAGCTGAATGCATCTTTTCCTTCTAGTATCACATCCTTAAGATGTGTCCTGTAAGAAAAGTACCATTAACGACATGCGTATATAACATTTTTATGTAATCCGGTTTATTTAGATGGTTATATTATAAAGTAAGGCGAGTTTATGAACATGCTTATCAAGCATACGTACCAAAGTCTTGAATTGGACTTCGCTTTGGAGAAGCATAAACATAGAAAAGAGAGAACCTGACCACTACAAGAAAACAGGGCCGTTTCCGACGGCCAAAACTGTCGGAAATCCGTCGGAATAAGGCCTATTCCGACGACTTGCCGACGCTTTTGGTCCGTCGGTTCTATCTCGTCGGAAATTAAAAACCGTCGGAAATCCGTCGGAAATACTGACGGATTTCCGACGGAAAAGGGATAACTAGAATCCATCGGAAATCCGTCGGAATATTGCCGACGGTTAGAACCTCCGACGGATTTCCGACGACCCGTGCCACCGACGGATTTCCGACGACACGTGTCACCGACGGATTTCCGACGGGCAAAGCTTCCGACGGATTTCCGACGGTTTTTAATTTCCGACGGAATTATTATTT